ATCTCCCCTGAGGTCTTGCTTTCAGTTCTGTTTTTATTTTTTATTTTTTGAGACAGAGTCTTGCTCTGTCGTGTAGGCTGGAATGCAGTGGTGCAATCTTGGCTCACTGCAACCTCTGCCTCCTGGGTTCAAGTGATTCTTCTGCCTCAGCCTCCCAAGTGTCTATAGACATGCGCCACCATGCCCAGCTAATTTTTTCTGTTTTTAGTAGAGATGGGGTTTTGCCATGTTGGCCAGGCTGGTCTCGAACTCCTGACCTCAGGTGGTCCACCTGCCTCAGCCTCCCGAAGTGCTGGGATTATAGGGATGAGTCACTGCACCTGGCCAAGGCTTTGAAAAAAACAAAAACAAAAACAAATAAACAAAGTCCTGTTTTATTTAATTACTTCACATGAACCATTGCAAAAGTGACAATAGTCAACAAGGCTGCACTGAGGTGACACTGTCACGTGGTCAGCCAGGCTCACTCACCAGCAGTTGGCTTCCCCAAAGCAGCATTGTGTGCTGTGATGGAAATCTGTGTCTGAGCAGAATTACACATCACAGCATTTCCACTAAGGTGGAAGCTCCTTGAGGTCAGGGACTCTGTTTTGTCTCTAGAACGGGGCCTAACACTCAGAAAAGGATGACTGAGTACAATTCTGCAGCCCTCATGAAGGGCGAGGCCAGATGTCCCATGACACCCAAGGCTCTGACTGTCAGGGTGTAGCTGAGGATGGAGGCCAGAGCTATGACCGTCAAAGCTTAAATGCCAAGTATCAGTGAGCAGCCCTGTCCTGGGGACCTCATCTGCGTCAGAACCACTTTGGGGAGCATGGGTCCTGGTTGTGACTGGCTTTCCTTCAGGAGGCCTCAGTTCTTGAGAGAGGACCTTGGGTGAGGACACACCGCCTCCTGAAAAGGGCGTGCTACAAAGAGAGCTGAATTTCTATAATGAGTTGACTTAAAACCATTTGTGGAGTTTGGCCTGACTGGCACGACTGTTCTAACTGCTTTCTGCCTGCCTTGGGGGCTGTATAACTCCTCCCCTCCCCCTAAATGATAAGGGGAATCAGACCAAGGTTGAAGCCATGGGCAGAGCCGAGCTCGGCTGTCTCAGCTATCACCCCGCATTTGTCTGGGTGCTATTTTGGTCCATGATGTGTGGTTTCAGCCTCTGGGCCAGCTTTTCATCACGATGTGATCCCATCTTTTATGGGTTGACTGAGTTCTCCAAGAGAGGAAACTGCCAAAGAGAGGAGTTGCCTCAGATGTTGAGGCCTTCTCTTCCTTTAAGTGTCTTATTTTTAAGGTAACACAAGAGCCCAAAACTAGTAACTCCAGATTTAGGGCAAGGAGGGAATCTGGGGAGAGGGGATGTGGCACGTATGTGTGTTGGGGGGTGGTGGCTGGCTGCGGGCGGGGAGGCGGCAGTTCATGCAAAGTGGTCCCAGCTGCCCCTAGCTTAGGGCTGATCCCGCCCTGCCCTGCCCATCATTCAGGGTAAGCCGCTATCATTAGTGGTTAAGTGTTTCTGAAAGTATTCTCTCTCCATGCTGACCACATGCCCTTTCTGGGAAGGGAGGGCGGGGCCAGGGAGTAATGGGACCCACCCTGTTGTCATGCCCAGCTGCTCTGCAGAGGGACAAGGAACCTGGGGCTGGAGTTGATCATGGGCAGGTTCATCTGAGGCGCTGACAGTGTACTTTTTGCAGGTCCTGCAGCTCCCTGAGGGGTCCAACTTGCTCCTGGGGGCTGCAAGTTCCAAATCAGAGAGGCTTTTTGTCCTAGTAAAGGGATCCTTGGCTGAAACAAACCTTCTGTTAACCAATTTTCTCTCTCAAGCTCTCTGCCCTCAACACGTACACATATGCACACACACGGACATACACACAAATATACACACACACATGCACACACGCGTGCACACACACACTAGCTTGCTGAGGGCCGCCTGCCTTTCCCTTTGGAACTCATTTGTACTGGTTCCACTTTTGAGGAGGAGCTGTGGTAAAATGCTTACGGTGAACATTTCTTCCCATGAAGTGGGAACTTTGAAATACTCATCTTTGACTGAGGTGTGGTTGACAGCTTTTTTGTTGTTGTTGAGACAGAGTCTCCCTCTGCGTTGCCCAGGCTGGAGTGCAGTGGCATGATCTCGGCTCACTGCAACCTCCACCTCCCAGATTCTAAGTGATTCTCCTGCCTCAGCCTCTGGAGTAGCTGGGATTATAGATGCGTACCACCACACCTGGCTAATTTTGTATTTTTAGTAGAGATGAGGTTTTGCTATGTCGGCCAGGCTGGTCTCGAACTCCTGACCTCAGGTGATGGACCTGCCTCGGCCTCCCAAAGTGCTGGGATTACAGGCATGAGCCACTGCGTCCATCTAACAGCTTTTGATTTATGAAATTAGCTCAAGGAAAAAGTTAAGATGGAAAAAGAGAGTCCACATTGAGTCTGTATTTCCACAGCTCTGTCGTGCGCTGTCTCTCTTGCCACGCAGTGTTTAGGTATGAGGGACTCCAGAGTTTGCTATGTTTCTCCATTTTTCTCCTTTTTTTTTTTTTTTGTTGGGGGTTGGGGGCAAGAAAAACTTAAAAAGAAATTTTTTTTTTTGAAACAAAGTCTCACTCTTTTGCCATGCTGTCAGGCTGAAGTAATCCTCCTGCCTTGGCCTCCCAAGTACCTGGGACCACAGGGGCATGTACCACACCTGGCTAATGTTTAAAAATTTTTGGTAGAGATGAGGTCTCCCTGTGTTGCCCAGGCTGGTCTCAAACTCCTGGGCTCAAGTAATCATCCCATCTCAGCCTCCCAAAGCGTTAGGATTACAGGTGTGAGCCACTGCACCCAGCCAAAAATTCATGTTTTTTTCCTTACTCACAAGTATACAAGCTCAATGAAGGAAGCTGGAAAAATCTAGAAGAGCACAAAAGGGCTTCTGTATTCCCAATATCCAAATATAATGACTGTTAAGATTTTGGTTTATGTTCATCTTGTCAAATTCTGTTTCTTACTTTAGAGAAGGTAGTTGGTGAGGGTGGTTCATATCCCTCAAGGAGCCTCCTGTTGACCGTCCCAACATGCTGGACCAAAGACTCCCAGCAGGGTTGTTCTGCTGTGGGTGGGTCCTCCCAGTGGGGAACTTTCTATTATAGCTCTTAATTTCACCGTTGTCCAAATGACCAGCAAAAAAATAGCCCAAGAGGAATTCAGCTTGAGTTCAGGCTTCCTGTCCCATCTTCTGACTTAAGAGCCTGAGCTCTTGACGTTAAACTGCCTGGATATGAATCTTTGCATCCTTTGGCTTACTTTCTGTAGAGCTTCTCTGTGTCTGTTTGCTTATCTGTAAAGTGGGGATAATAATAGTAACCTACCTTTAGTGTTCCCATGTTAAATGAGAAAATATATGTAACGTGCATAGCACACACAGTACCTGGAACATAATGTTAGAGTCAGTGAATATTACATACTTCTATAGCCATTATTATTACCTTTATTTATTTATTGACTTTTTTTTTTTTTTGAGACACTCTCTTTCACTCTGTCACCCAGGCTGGAGTGCAGTGATGTGATCTTAGCTCCCTGAAACCTCTACCTTCTGGGCTCAAATGATCCTCCTACTTCAGCCTCCTGAGTACCTGGGACTACAGGCATGCACCAGTAGTGCAACTAATTTTGTTTATTTTTTGTAGAGGCAGGGTCTCATTATGTTGCCCAGGCTGGTCTCAAACTCCTGGGCTCAAGTGATCCTCCTGCCTTGGCGTCCCAAAGTGTTGGGATAACAGGCGTGAGCCAATGTGCCCAACCACCTTTATTGGTGAGAGTAGTCTTATCACCCCATGTTGCATGGTACACATTGTCTCTGGGCCTCTGTTTCTCTGCCTGGAGAGGGGTGATCTTTTCTTCACTGGATGGTATTTGAAGCATCTCACAGTTGTAAAGTAGTAGATGCTTACTAAGTAGTAGAAGAGCCTCCTTTGGCGAAACAGATGAACCGAAGGACAGGGAGACTTAGACATTTTCACTGAGTGGGCAAAGTCAAGCTACAGAAAGAACATGAGAGCACATGCTGCCTGTTGCCTTGTGTTCTCTGAAGATGCCTGATAGGTTTTCTGCTGCTAAATCCCATAGTTTTCTTTGTGATTTGGGTCCATTTCTATATTGCTTCTCATTTATTTGGATGGATTGTTGAGTCCTCTTTTCTAGATAAAACATATCTAGGCCAGGCACAGTGGCTTATACCTGTAATCCCAGCATTTTGGGAGGCTGAGGTGGGAGGATCGTTTGAGCTCAGGAGTTCGAGACTAGCCTTGGTAACACAGCAAGACCCCATCTCCCCAAAAATAAAAAAATGAGCCAGGCGTGGTGCTGTGTGCCTGTAGTCCAGCTCCTGGGGAGGCTGAGGTGGGAGGATCACTTGAGCCCAGGAGTTTGAGGCTGCAATGAGCTATGATCGCACCACTCCAGCCTGGACAGCAGATCGTGACCCTGTCTCTAAACAAACTAACAAGTGAGCGACAACAACAAAAAGTGTCACCATATGCATTGACTAAACGTTGTTTAATGCCCCTTGACTTTTATTGCCAAGGGAATTATCTTTCTAGCTATAGAGAAAATTGCTTTGGATAAAAGCTCTTCTTGCCTAAGGGGGGAAATTTTCATCTGAGCCTGTCAGTGATTCTTGTTTATTTGTAACATTTGAGCCCAATAAAAATAATGTGATGGTCACAGGATATTTTGCCAATTATTTCAGATGCAGGGGCAATTCACTCTGGATTTGTTTACTTGAAGTGGAAAAGTTTACACAAAGTTACCTTCTGAGCTTTTACCAAAAAGGAAACTTCCCTGGGTCTCTCTGCTTGGAACCAGCTTCTGTTGAGTCCAAAACTAGAGGGGCCATTAAAGGTCTTGTTTCCAATAAATGGCAGGAGAAGGGAATATGATGACTTAGGCAGGAAACACTTCTGTCCTTTTCAGTGACTTATGTCTGTCTGCTTTCTACTTTGAACCCCCAGGACGCACAGACATTCAGGTACTGCAGCCAGAACAACCCCAGCAACCGGCGAGCAAAGCCCAGGTGCTCGGAGCCGGCACCGCCAGCCCATCAAGAACTCAGGCCACAGTGGCTTGGCCAACGGCACAGGTGAGTGATGGCACTGCACGCCAGCCTGCACTGAAGCCGTGGGCTCTCACCCATTCTAACGTGGACACGGGATCCTGCCCACTGTGTCAGAATAGAGGGTGGGCATCAGAAGGCTCTAGGACTAAACTGGATTTGAATCCATCAGTCTTTCTACTGACCCATCTTCTTCTATCTCTGGCATATTCTGTACAGCCATGGTTATTCTCCATATGACTGCGCTTTTCTAAAATACTCATTTGCACAGAAATAAAAAGTCCTGTCTTCTTTTTCTTTTTTTGAGATGGAGTCTCGCTCTGTCTCCCAGGCTGGAGTGCAGTGGCACGATCTTGGCTCTCTGCAAGCTCCGCCTCCTGGGTTCACACCATTCTTCTGCCTCAGCCTCCCAAGTAGCTAGGACTCCAGGCACCCGCTGCCATGCCTGGCTAATTTTTTGTATTTTTAGTGGAGATGGGGTTTCACCGTGTTAGCCAGGATGATCTCTATCTCCTGATCTCGTGATCAGCCCGCCTCGGCCTCCCTAAGTGCTGGGATTACAGGCATGAGCCACCACGCCCGGCCTTTCTATTCATTTCTCGTCAGCATTAGATTTCATGTTGGGGAGGCTATCTCATTTATACATGGCATATTTTTGATTTCCTTCGCGTAAGGGAATTATCAGACTAAGGAAATATAGGACTAAGTATTGTTGCTAAGAGCTGAGTCAGATGATGGCACCACCAGTGAATGGGTTGACATACTGACTAGGGCAAAGCCAGGTAACTACTTGGGGGTGTGCTGGGGCCATCCCGACGGGGGCCCCATTTGAGAGGAGACAGTCCCGTCCATGTGCGCACAGAGCTTCCTCACACTTGGCTCTGCTTCCCCGTAAGTGAGACGGGAAGGACCTATTTCAGAACAACTCATTTTCCGTCCTGCTCTCCCTCTCTCTCATCAGGACAGAGTCAAAAAAGAAAAAGAAAAAACAAACCCATTCATTTCTCTTAACTTCTCAAAGACTGTCGAATCTTTAGTGACTGCTGGTCGTTCGGTAGTTTGTCTTCATTTGGGGCAGTTGGGCAGGGACATAGACATTTCGCTTCCATGCACTGTAGGTAGAGGAATGCTGGGGTTGAAACTGGTAGGTGACGCTGAGATAGTTTTCTAATGCTCGTGACAGCAGAGGTGTGGCGTGAAGGCCAGGAGACTCAGAGCAGCGTAGCTCTTCATGAAAGTGTTGTTGTGGCATTGTTAAATGACCTCTGTGTGACAAACTTACTGAGTGGAAGAAATTGATTTGAGTTCCTTTGTAATACCCTTCAGTTCTCTGGCAGCACCATATGGGGGCTTCAGAGTCCCTGTGGCTGCTGCTGTTGCCTGGATACCCTGTCGTCTTCAGTGGACCACGAGATGGAGTGCTCTGTGTCCTATAAAGCGCACTGTGAGTGCGGTGGCCTGACCTCCTCCCTGAAGTTTGGGACCTGCCTGAAGGACTTGAGTGAACTGACTAGCTCACCCTGAGCCTTGGGGAAGAGGAGGAGCTGCAGGTGGGGAATCCTGGGGCTGCCATCTCAACCCCCTGGTGCCCCTGGACCACCCACTATATCCTCGTGCTGGAACATCCAGGGGTAGCTGAGCCTGGCCTTCCTGTCTGTGTGAAGGCAACAGCAAAGTGATGGCCGTGAGCCATGGTATAGAGAACCATAGGCAGCTCTGCAAGCATTTTTCTCTTAGAAAACTCAGTGGCTGTGGAGGAGGGCAGTGTTTACAAATGGGGACGGGGGACTGGCTTTTAGGAACCAACTGATTCCCAGGTGCCGTGGCGGAGCTACCAGTGGCTTTGTTCTGCCAGGGGCCTGTGTTACTGGGATCATGGTTTCCTGCAACTACTTCTACTTTTCCTATAAAAACTATTGGTGAATTGACTTTCTTTGGTGATAGTCCTTGAGTCACTCTTAGACATTTCAATAGAGCTGTATTTCCCCTACATTTATTTTTAGGTCCCATTACTTATTGTCCTTATCTCTAGGAACATTATGTTCTAGCAGACAAGGCAGGTGCCAGCTGTGTCTTCAAGAAGCCGAGTGTCTCTAACCTCGGACTGCCTTGGACATGTTTCATGGTGGTGTCTCTCAAAGCCCAAACCTGTTCCTAAGATCTGTCTCTGAAGGGCAGTTGTATTTTAGGGATTTCTGCCCACTCCAGTGCTGAGGCCTTGATGTCCATCTCTCCCCTTTCTGCTGTGATGGTGTTTCACCTTTACCTCACAGGCAGCCTGTACTTGATATAACGTCTGCCCCAAGGGTACAGAACTGTGTCACCTTTGCCGTGGGGAGCTGCTGAAGCTCCTCTCTTAAGCAGCGCAGGACCAGAGGGGGTTTGAGGGCGTGAATGAGGACATCTTCATCCCTCAGTCTGCTGCTGTGAGAACTCTGAGGACCAGTTCCAAGATGGTGGTGGTGGGGAGCTCTGCCTCCTGGAAGAGTCTCCACAGACTTGCGAGATTTATTTAGCAGCCTTTTTTGGCTGTGTGCTGCAGTTATGCATGAAAAAGAAATTTGGGGCCAAACCGGAGCTGGATTCCAGGTGGTTTTTTTTATGTTGTCACAACCATAAAGTATCCATTTTTATAAAACAAGAGTGAATGGCAGCCTGTCTGTATAAATATTATATTTCTAAGTTTTAGAAGTGGTGGAATCAAGAAATAGACTAATGGCGTAGCCCTTCATAGAGACTTGTATGGAATGATTTACTTGCTAATTCTTTATTGAAGACTTTACCCCCAAATTTACATATTTTACTTCTTCCCTAAATGTAATTTCCATACGCATCAGTCAGAAGTTGCATCAGCTGTGGTCAGGTTCCAGTTCTTCATCTTTAATGTGTTTAAGGCCCAGTGACTCGCTGGGTCTTAGTTTTCTCGTTTATAAAATTAGAGCAAAAGTTGGGCGTGGTGACATGCATTTGTAGTCCCAGCTACTCAGGATGCTGAGCCAGGAGGATCGTTTGAGCCTAGGAGGCAGATGTTGCAGTGAACTGAGACGGCACGACTACACTCCAGCCTGGGTGACAGAGTGAGACCCTGTCTCAAAAAAAAAAAAAAAAAAAAAAAAAAAATTACAGCAGAGGTGTATATCTCATAAGTTGTTATAAGGAATAAATTATAGATATAACTTCAAGATATTATGGGTTTGTTTCCAGGCTACCACAATAAAGCAAATATCACAAAAAAGCAAGTCACATGAAGTTTTTGGTTTCCCAGTGCATGTAAAAGTTACCTTTACACTATATTGTAGTCCATAAAGGGTACAACAGCATTATGTCTAAAAAATGTATATGCCTTAATTAAAAAATACTTTATTGCTAAAAGTGCTACCAATTATCTGAGCCTTTAGCCAGTGGAAATCTCTTCGCTGGTGGAAGGTCTCGCCTCGATGTTGATGGCTGCTGACTGATCGGGGTGGTGGTAGCTGAAGGTCAGGGTGGCTGTGGCAATTTCTTAAAATAAGACAACATGAAGTTTGCCGTGTCAGTTGATACTCCCTTTCATCAAAGATTTCTCTGTAGCACGCGACGCTGTTTGATAGCATTTTACCAACAGTAGAAAATCTTTCAAAATTGGAGTCAATTCTCTCAAACTTTGCCACTGCTTTATCAACTAAGTATACAGAATATTCTAAATCCTTGTTGTCATTTCAACAGTGTTCACAGCATCTTCACTAGAAGTCGATTCCATCTCAAGAAACTGCTTTCTTTGCTCATCCATAAGACACAACTCCTAACCCATTCCAGTCTTCTCATGAGATTGAAGCAGTTTAGTAGCATCTTCAGGCCTACTTCTTATTCTAGCTCTCCTGCTGTTTCCACCACACCTGCATTTCCTTCCTCCCCTGAAATCTTGAACCCCTCAAAGCCATCCATCAGGGTTTGAATGAGCTTCTTCCAAACCCCTGTTGTGTTGATATGTTGACCTCCTCCCATGAATCACAAATGTTCTTAATGGCATCTAGAATGGTGAGTCGTTTTTAGTTTTTATTTTTTTAAATTTTTAAATTTTTTTTGAGATGGAGTTTTGCTCTTGTTGCCCAGGCTGGCGTGCAATGGCATGATCTCAGCTCACTGCGGCAACCTCCACCTCCTGGGTTAAAGCGATTCTCCTACCTCAGTCCCAGGAGTAGCTGGGATTCTAGGCATGTACCACCACACCCAGCTAATTTTTGTATTTTCAGTAGCGATGGGGTTTCATCAGGTGGGCCAGGCTAGTCTTGAACTCCTGACCTCAGGTGATCTGCCTGCCTTGGCCTCCCAAAGTGCTGGGATTGTAGGCCTGAGCCTTTAGGAGGTTTTTAATGGGTTTTTGCCCCCATCCATCAGAGGAATCATGATCTATGGCAGTTATAGCCTTATAACATGTATTTGTGGGGCTTTTTTGTATTTTTTTTTTTCGTCTTTTGTTTTTGAGATGGAGTCTCGCTCTGTTGCCCAGGCTGGAATGCTGTGGCATGATCATGGCTCACTATAACCTCCACCTCCCGGGTTCAAGTGATTCTTGTGCCTCAGCCTCCAAAGTAGCTGGGATTATAGGCATCTGCTACCACATCTGGCTAATTTTTGTATTTTAGAGACAGGATGTCATCATGTTGGCCAGACTGGTCTCAAACTCCTGACCTCAAGTGATCCACTTACCTCAGCCTCCCAAAGTGCTGAGATTATAGGCCTGAGCCCCTGTGCCCAGCCATAAAATGTATTTCTTAAATAGTAAGACTTGAAAGGCAAGATGACTCCTTGCTCCATGGACTACAGAATGGATGTTGTGTTAGCAGGCGTGAAAACAACGTTAATCTCCTTGTATATCTCCATCAGAGCTCTTGGGTAACCAGGTGCATTATCCATGAGCAGTAATATGTTGAAAGGAATCTTTTCTCCTGAGCAGTATATCTCAACAGTGGGCTTTAAATATTCAGTAAACCATGCTGCAAACAAATGTGCTGTGATCCAGGCTTTGTTGCTCCATTTATAAAACA